GTGTGTGGGTGTGTGTGTTTGTTTGCTATATGTTGGGGTATTCACGTGGGAAGACAGGCATACAGACGACATGAAGAGCAAATAGGCACAGATTGCACACGAAGAGCTCAAAACAGACAGAATCGGGTAGATCTTTGGGGGGGGGATACCATATATATATATATATATATATGTGTGTGTGTGTGTGTGTGCATATCTTTGGGACAATGTGCAAACACACACACACAAGCAAGTTTGCCTGCTTGTATATATGCCGTACGACTTTGTCACCTCGCCATTCCGTTGTTGATGCGTGTCACTTTCAGACATTCCGGCCGACCAACAGCACATAAGTGGACACATGCCCACTCACTCACTCACTCACTCACTCACTCACTCACTCACACATTGGCGGGCACACAGGGGAACTTTGCGAGAGTGCGACCGGCAACTGCTCCTGGACCGAACTAAGGCCTCTTTCAGGGGCTCTCATCAGTGGGGCTGACTGAATATACACCAAACGCCCCCGCGACGCCCAAGCCGAAAAGAAGCCCAAACACAACAACCTACAACCTTATACAGTAACAAGTTAGCCCCTAACGCAAAATCACTCTGAGCCCCACAGTTCTGCACCTCTTCCAGGTCGCCGGTTGCGACATCCAGGCACTTCTCCTGCAATGAAGAGAAGAACCCGTGAGCCTTGCAAGAATCAGCCTGCAGTGTCCTGCACTTACGGTATGTGTCTGGAACTGTGTACTTATGTAACTTATGTATGTATGTTTGCATGTATGTATGAAAAATGCATGTCAATGTGTCTAGACATCTGTGCAACTTGTGATGAAGCCGGTTTCTTCATCGCTTAGATGCACGAGTTGTGCACAGATGCGCCTGTTCGTGAACTGAAAGACTCCTCGATGTCCATTCCTGTCTCCCGATAGTATGCGACTGTAGCCTCAGGGCCTATAGGGGCTTGAATATTATTCCACAGGCCTTGTTTGTAGCAGACTATGGGTTCCGGTGCTCACACTCGGACACTCCAGGCGAAGCATGACTATGGCATGGGCTTAGGATTTTCGGGTGAAGAATAGTCTCATGACGAAGCCTTAACCCACAGCCCTAAGCCCATCCCCAAACCCTCAACCTTGAGCGGTGGACTCCTTTCCTGCATCCCTAAACCCAAATATTCCTTCTCCCATCCCTAGTGCTTGAACTTGGGCCCTGTTGTAATAAACTCGAAAACCGCACAAATCCTACACCCCCCCCCACATCATGAACTGGCTTCCCGTGAGCGGCTCCAGAACCAGGCTCGACTGTCGATTTCTAGCCACCTCCAAGATGTTCATCTGAACCTCAGTAGGCTGAGCACTACCTGTTCTGGTGTTGAATGCTGCTGGTCCTAAAGCTTAGTGGTTTAAGTTTCGTGAGAATTGCTACTGTTTCAGTGGCGAAAGCTCAAGGACATGATCCATAGGGTTCAGGGTTTCTGGCTCCGGCGAGGAGGTAAATTGCCGGGTTTGCAGGGCCCTGTAGCCAGGCATACGTAAATTGGGTTCCAGGTTTAGGCTCAGGAGCTCGCCGATCGTCTATTCTCAGGATGTGAGGCTTTGTGAATTCGCCTGCGTTCAGAGTTCGGGATGCCACGGGATATAGGGGCTTAACATGCTAACACCTTCCCGAAGAATCCAGGTTTCCATGGATCAAGATCACATGCTCCCAAAAGCTATAATGTGCCAGCCTACCACTGCATACAGAACCACAGAAACGGTTCTTCTTGGAGCCTTGCATGCCAGGTCCCAATGTCCTAAATGGTTGGTCGAAGGTTGCTTGCTCTCTTCTCTGAGTTCGCACCGGCGCTACTCTCCCGTGCACAGTTTCGGACGCCACTCTTGTGCAAAGCGCACATAGAATTGTGCAAGGCCACGTTTTCCAGAGAACCTTGATTTCAAGTCACTTTCCACATGACCCCGGTTGTGCAGCCCGTCGTGTTTCCTACCCTCGGCCAGGCATAGCTGCTGCTCCTTTGTAGGTATTTGTTCAAATGGACCCCTACTTGGCAATAAAATCGACAGTAGGATAAATTAGACACGACTGACACTGGGGGATACGATGCCGGTGCCAAAGCGGGCTGCTTTCGGCCCACGTCGAGAACTGCTGCTAGCGAGCCTACGATGAGGACTCGACGCAGCATCGAATGATCTGGCGTTTGTGCTCAACTTCTCCATAGGACAGTACCTGTCAGGCCAGACTGCATGGATCTATCGAGTTGAATTCTTTCTTCTGCTTCTGCTTCTGCCTTCGGCGCCGAATACAGGACTGGACAGGCAAAGGCTGGGTTCAGTTCATTTCGCTCGCTGCTTACGACGGCAATACGGAGAAACAGCACGCTTCCGGCTCTTATCGCAAACCGTCCTGAAGCGTGCGTCCGAAAGGATCCCATGCAACGAATAATCAAGACCTGCTGAACAAACGTGCCCCACTGAGTGCAGAGGAAGGTAGCCGCTGCTGTCTTCAACGAGGGCCGAAGCTGACGAATGAGCATGTCTTTGGATCTCTAGACGCTCCCGAAGACGCCGATGCATGGTTCATGTCAATCTTTAGCCGATCTCGAAACAGCGCCGCCAGATTTCGATCAGGCCCTGCCAGTTGCACCACATCAACCACAAGAATAATTATGACTGTATAGTTCCGACATTAAGACAGGAACGATGACCTTAACACCTGCGACAGCAGCGACGGTACATAGCAACACAAAGACTTGCAACCGCAAATCAATGCACAGCCGCAGTTCCAGCTGCAAACAAGGCCGCGACTGTCGACCCACACAACACGAACTAAGCACCTAAGAACACGGATATATATCTATATATATATATATACATATACACATGTGTATATAGATAAATAACGAGAGGCAACCAACCAACAACAACAACTGCAAAGGCAAAAACACGCACAAACGCTGAGATAGTCGTCATATTCTCGCGAGGAGTTGGAAGCAGTATGTTGGCAGGTGCGCAGGTAGGGCACAGCTCTGATGACGTTGTGGCCATAGGCGTCACGAACAAGCAAGGGCACCTTGCACGACGCAGGTGGTACAAAAGGCTTTGTTCACGGCTCCCTTAAACCTAAGCACTAGACCCTACGGCTCCAGATTCGAAAGATATGATCTTCCGACGGTGACGACCTGTCAGCTTGGCTTTTGTTACAAGGATGGTCTACCTTGGTTGTTGTCGTTTCGGAGACCTCCCACTTCATCTTAATTGGAGGAATGAATAAGCTACCGATACTCTTGTTTCTCCTGTGTCGCTGTTGATACCCCTCAGTACTAGGTCTACCAAACAAGGATGCACCCACACTGCCAGAGTACTCGAGTAGTCTGAACCGCAGAGTCTGAGTAGAAGGCACTGGCACTCGTAGTCGTAGAAGTAGCGCTAGAGATACCAGTCTTCAAACGCTTGCTGTGTGCGAAACTGGCTGCAGTCGTCCTCTGGATCTGGGCCAGTGTTGTCTCGCGATCGCTACATGCAGTGCTCGTCTTCCTGCTATTCCGTGACAACTAGGCGTCCGAAATCCGACCAAACAGCCCGCCCAAGCTTTAACAATCCCAAAACCGATGCCATGACAGCTGCATATCTCTTCCTGACAGGACGAGCCTTTGGATGCTTACAAATGAAGCTAAGGCACAGCTTGCAGAAGGTTGTTCAGCAGATGCTGCAGCTGACCTCATCGTACTGTAATTGGTTTGGGTAGTAAGGAACAAGGGCCTACCAGGTAAACCTTGCAGTATGTCATGGTAATAAGCCAAAGCATGTCATATGTACTCGGGTAAATTCTAGTGCGCTCTACGTTATCTTGTGGCTGCAAAGGCTTGCCAGGTCAACTTGGTTACAGTAACAAAGGCCTGCACTCACCAAACCAGGAGGGTACAATGCAACAAGAGTTTGAGTAGCTGCGCTGTGACCTACCCCTGACTCGGAACGCAGGGTTCAGGATTCACGTGTGTGTGCGTGATTCAATTAAGAGATCCAGCTCGCAGCCACACACACACACACCACAACAAAAGAGTTGAGGGTCCAAGGTTTGTATAAGGTCTATAGTTACAGGGTCCAAGGCGTATACGGCACGTGGCGCCCTGTCCGTGAGCTGTCCTGAAAATCTGAACTAAGACACTCACATCAACGTCAACTCGGAGGAGGTCAAATGCTTAGCATAAGGCCTTCATCAAAACAGGATTTTGGCCCTGGACAACCCGCATCTAAAACCCAAACCCGAAACAGCCAACTCGTAAGATATGTTTATGGTCTATAGTCTGCAGGACCTAGGGGTTATTTTAATGCCAAATGCCAACCCGAAGCGTCCCAAACCCTTGTAGACCTTAAACCCTGGAAAGACCCCAAATTGGAGTTTCAGAAATAAAAATGTGGGACCCGAATATAGGAAGGATCCGTGTTGAACTAAAACCCCTAGTGTAAACGGGAGACGTCTTGGTACAGGTACCCGTGAAAAATCTTTATACATCCCCGTTGTAGTCTCCAAGGGGCGGCGATGCGAGCAATGCTCGATAACTCGCTGCATCACTCGGCAGCTGTATCTTGGTAAGGTGTTGCACGGGGTTTGGGGGTCCGATTCGTTATCACTGTTTTTGGGCATCCAAAGGTTTCAGCATTCAGGTTTAGGGTGTTTTGGGGCTTAGGCTTTTGCAGGTGCTAGGCTCTCTAGGGGTGCTCGGCCCGTTAGGCTTTGGCACTGAGATGATTGAAAGCTTCAAGGTTTTGTAGATGCAATTTGGGGGTTCCCAAAAATAGGGGACCCTAATAGTACCCCAAATAGTAGGATCCCTATTATAAGGACCCCAAAATAAGGTCCCCCCCTATTTTCGGAAACCCCCATTTGATGGGCTATGCTGGCACCCTCGGGCTGGGCAGATGAGGTACTTGGCTTGCAGTCGGCAAAGTGAAGCCCTTGTGCCGGGTCACCAGCCATCCAATCAAAACGAAACGGACAAAGGCAAACCCCTTAAGCCGTAGACCAATTATGCAAAGATGTAGATCTTGCGGACAATCAAACATGCGCATCTCAGAAGGCTGAATCCCAGTCGGGAAAGCCGAACAGTTAAATGAAAACTGACGTCAGCGAAAGCCCTGTGGCCAGCACGGAGAAAACAAGGCCCAAACAGCCTATACATCAAGCGGTGTGCCAAACCCGCATCTGAATGCCTGGATCTTTGGCTACGCGACTGAGCGTTGTAACTTTACAGGGCCTGAGCGGCCTCCCTGCCCCACCTCCTCACTCTGCCACTTTCTCCGCCTCTTCTTCGCCTTCCGTCCCCTTCAGAGTCGCGGAGAAGGAAGCCGCAAAGGCCGGGAAGCCAAAGATTAAGAGCCAATGATTGTGCCCACACTGTGCACGCCTCACCGGGGCACCTTTTGCTTTGAGGCCGTCAGCAAAGCCTGCACTTGCAAAGAGGATGTCCTCCAACAGGGGGAGCCCCAACAGCTCCGTGCGTGCGTTGAGAATCCACCAGGTGCAGTTGCTGTCCAGGGCCTTCTGCTGAGGGGACTGCACAACAGCCGCAGGCGACGCGGCTGCGCGCCTCGCCTCCGTGTCGGCCCCGAGGATGTCTTTGAAAATGAGGTTCATGGCCGGCGCCAGGAAACGCCGCATGTCCTCCCACTTGGTCCGAAGATCGTAGATTCCTGAGACCAGGACCACCGCCTCGAAACGGCTCCGGGCCCGACCGTCCTTTGCAGCGACACAGGTCTCCAAACCATAGAGAGCCGCCACATGGCCACCGGAAGAGTAACCGCAAAGGACCAGTCGGCCGTCGCTTTTGAGAGCACTTGCATTCTCCTCCGCCCAAGACACGGCTGCTTCCACCTCTTTGAGGTAGTCGCGGCGGCCCTCCCCAGTCAGGTCCAGCTCACCCATCAGGTACTGACCCATACGGAAGGCAAAGTGGAGAGCCGGCACAAGGACCAAGCCGCCGATCATGAAAAGAGCAGTGAAAAGCCAACCAAGCGGGCCCATCAGAAGCATGGGCACAGCCAAAGAGGCCGCAAGAACCGCATCCACGAGCCCGGGAAGGACGACCGCCACCAACATCAACCACACGTCTCTTCGGGATGTCAGAAGCATCAGGACATCTGCCGCCAGAAGCAAGAAACGGAGGCCGGGCACCAGATACACCGGGGCGCAGAGGGCCAGTGCCAGTTCCTGCACTCGCGTCTGCGCGATGTGGCGCTGTGGTGTGTGGATTTGAACGCAGGCCAAGCCGTGCCTCGCCAGAGCATGGCCGAATGCATCGTTGAAATTCAGGCCAATGAAGCCCAAAATGCCCTCGCCGAACCAAAGGAGGCCACAAACCATCACGACGGCCGGCTTCGAGCCACCTTCTCCGGCGGGCGTGAAGACCCGCAGCGTGACCTTGCGTCCATCAACCTCGAGGGTCTTGAAGCTCCGGGCAGCCGTCGAAGTCTTCTTCTCGTCCTCGCCTTCCGTCAGCGCCGGCTTCCGGAAGCGGGCGAAGCTGTGGGCCATGAGAGCACTGGCACGGTGCTGGCCAGGAAGACAGATGCCGCAGAAGTAGACGGCAAACACAAAGCTGCCAAGCAAGGCAATAAATATGTGGCCGATTGCCGCTCAAAGCATACTGCGCACTCAACCGCAAACCTTATAAATTCAACAGCAGCTGGGATATGGCCGGATATGGCTTGGGGGAGGTGATGCTACCAATCATGATGCATGACGGTTGTCAATGAATACTCGTTGCTGATCTCGGGGTTTACCTGCAACTAGGTACAGTAGGGATTTCAACAAAGCATGATGTGAATCAAACAGACGAAGCTGGAAAATCGCTTCGGTGTTAGCTGCAAGCACCGGCACAGAGCTGCCAAATGGAAGAAGGCACTGCTGAGGACAGCAGGGTTCTTAAGGGCCAGCTGGATGTTTCGTCGCCTTGAGTGTGAGAGCAAGCAGGTGGGCAGGATGTGCTTGCCCGCATTTTGCTGCGAGAGGTTGTTGGATAGCTTGCTGAGGAGCATTTTTGCCAGGATTTCACCACTGTCAGTTCAACTTCGATGGGTTGTCCCGAGAGGATGCACCCAATAAGCTTAACCCTTAACCCTGACGTCAGTCATGCCCTCATCCTCGACAAGATTCTACCGAGTTGTTGAACCCGGAGCTCTCTCCAATCAGCCGGGTTGAATCCCAAACAGAACAACAGATTTTCCTAAACCCTAAACCCTAAAACCTAAACGCTACACCCCTACATTGAGGTCGCGGCTGGTGCTGGGCAGCTTCAACTGCGTGCTCCTTTACTGTCGCACACGAGGCGAAGAACATTTGGGTGGGAGAGGTGTTTGTTGGAGTCCTACCTGTAGTTTCCATTGTAGTTCCTGTTTTTGGTTTAACCGAATATATATTAAAGCCTTTATAAGGTGTCCCCCAAAAGGAGGTAGGTCCATGCAACTCTGACATGTTCCAAACCCTCAGGTATCAAACTCCTTATAGCGAGTGGGGTCACATTTAGAATTTAGATGTTTCCTTGTTGAGGCCTGCAGCTACCGTAACAGACGGATCCTAGTCAAGGATTTGTGCCAAACACTCGCTTCCACACGACCGTGGTTTCTGGGGCGGCAGAGAAGTGCTTTGCGGATCTTTGCGGTGTTGGGAATCGAAGGTCCGAGTACCTGAAACCTCCATGTTCTTCAGCGGATTAGTTGGTAGCCAGCAACAACTGCGAAGACTGGTGCATGAAACGCACAGACGGGTACCATGTGGAGCCAAACCCCGTCCTCAAGTCCCTCCACGATGAAGTCCACGTAGGCCGCGGGCAAAAGTTCCACGCACTTCTGAAGAACAAAGTTGGCATGCATGTGTCGACCTCAGTTTCCAGGAAGCTCGACATCCCAAAGCCTCATCTAAAGCAAAGGGTTTGGGTCGGCGGATAGAGGCCCTTCCGCAGACTCGAGGTTAGTGTCAAAGAATTTGTGGACACTTGAATGAGAAGAAGAAGGCTCGCTCGGGGTCTCTGAAGGTGAAACGCAGACAAGGGAAATATCGCCTATTGACCCAACTATAAGCCAAACTATCATCACAAATCAGTACCTTCCTCACAAACCTGTATCATCATAAGTTCATGCTAGCCAAGGCCTTGTGAGGTAAGCGCCAAGTTGTCATCTCGGCCAAGTGCAAAGTGCGACCCAAGGGGCTGCAGGCCAGTACTTCGCCTGGCAGCTAGCCAAAGTCTGGCTGAAGCTTCGGTGGGTGAACACTTACCGTACAATGGGTTTTGCTTGTTGCACGTGCATAAGTATGAATGTAAACACACAAATAGATACGTATGTATATATGCATGTACGTACATATAGTTTTTCGTTTACTGTGTACTATACTGTAGGGTTCAGGGCTTCAGGCTCAGGTTGCCAATTCGGAAATGCCTGAAGCTTCGGCTAGCCCAGGAAATAGAGCGTGCGGCCACGGGCTTCAAGTTTCGAGTGGAGGTTGGGTCCGACGTCGGTAGAGGTTGCGCTCATGCTCGTCACGCAGTGGAAAAGCTGTGAGAGAGTTTTGATGTCGGCAGCTGCTGATGCGAGGTGCCCGTCTGAGCCCTGCCGGGGCCCGGAGCCCTAACAGGGATCGACGAGTCCAGAAAGTTTGGCTTACGGTGAGGTGAACCCTGACACCAAGGATGCAGACCGAAGCATCAGCATGTTCAGTGGCTGGGACAGTGTCAGGGGAGCTGCAAAGGGCATGGAACAGTTGTGTAGAGATAAATCCTAAGCAGCAGGATCTTGCACCAGGCCCTCCCCAGAAGGTTCACCTGATTCAAGCAATGCTCTGACTCTGTGTGGAAGTCAGGGCAATCCAACTCCCCAACCCTAAACCGAAATTCGCATCGCCGGCCGGGGCAGTCCTGAGAGTTCCTGCGCCAGCTGGCGCTGGACTTCCCGTGGCGACACCTGCGGCTCCGCACGAAGGCATCTTCACTTGCCATGTAAGAGTTTAGGATTCAAGGCTTAGGGCTAGGGTTATTTTACCGACCCTAGCCCATGTTAGAGCTGTGGTTGCGACATGGTGCCATGCCGGTTGTGAGCGTTTGCCAAGGGCATTTAGTCTTGAGCATAGAATATCAGAATATCACGCAAAGCCATCTGTGTAGCTTCGTAAAATCCGCTAAACTTCCGCAAACCTCACCCCAAAATTTGGCGGGACCAGGCGGCAGAATGCCTGCAAAGCAGGCACAGAATGAAGAACAACATGAAATACCGTCGCTGCAGTTGTGGCGGTTGGCGTGCCAGAGAGACCAGAGTGTATAGAACCTCACATTCTGAACCCGAAGTCCTGAACCGGAATCCAAAAACTACCCTATGTACCCTAAACCCTAAACCCCCCAACAGACCTGGCCCCGACTCGCTGAAGCCTCAAAGATCTGCTGCAGAATTCGGCAACCGAACTTGTCCCGCGCCAGCCTGGGGGAAGCTTTTCGGCGTCAGGGGTGCTCAGGGCTTGTAGGGTCCAGAGGGATTCAGGCTTGGGGTTTCGGGAAGTCGGCCGGGACAAGCCCGGATGCAAAAAAGGGTTGTTTCTGGGTTCGGGCTCGGGCATTTAAGCATCTCAAGAGTGTCATACAGGGTGTCGAGCTTTATGGCTACAGTCGTTTGGGGCTTTTGGGCTTGGCTTATCGGCTTATAGAGCTTAGTTTCCTTCGGTATTGGCGGCACTTACGCGGAACTTAGGATTTCGCGATTTGTGGTTGCGAGGATTTCGTCGGTACTCGTTTGTAGGTTTTCGGGGCAGCCAGACCCTCGACCTTATACCCTGGCATCCTGAGATCCTTCACCTGCGTTTCAAGCTTCGGGGGGGTCTCGGGATGCAGGGCTCAGGGTAAGGACCTGCAGTCATGAGAGTCTTCCTTAGGAGCAACTGAGAATCACTCCGGCATCCCCACACAACAGTAAACACCCCAAGCCCCGAAAGTTGCAGGTGCAGCTGAGCAGCTTTGGCACCGACTTGTCACAGCGGCTCGCCATTTCGACAAGCATCGTTTCTTTGACACCCTCCTGCATAGGTGCTTTGACGATTTACGCTGTTATGTCAGGGTCGAAGGTGAAAGGCTCTTAAGTAAATGGGGATCGCCTGCCAGCTTGATGAATGGACGCTTTGGAACCCTTCAAACCAGCCTGAATCCTGCAGCGAAGACCTACACACCACGAGGAAAGCTGCACTGGGAAGGCAACAACTGGCTTACCGGACCTAAACCCTCAGCACGTCGCTCGACCCCTTCCTTTGTGGTGTCGATCTTTGGGGAAGTTTTGAGGCCCTACTGCCCTACTGCACTCTGCCCCAAACCTCCGGGGTTGCGCGTTCTGGCAAAAATCCTAAAGTGCTGCTGAGGGAGATGTTGTTCTGGGGACACGAGATCAAAGTGGTGGCGATGATGACTTTGGGCAGCAGTGTGCCATAAAAGCAAGCAGTCGACTGGCTGCCATCACATTTATAACTCAGCCCCTTCTTTGTCGGAGCCTCGAGTATCCGCGTGAGCACCAGCGAAGCTTGTTCGTGGCCTCGGAGAGGAGGACACGGAATTGATTCGAGATTGGGCGGAAGAGACCTCTTCAGATCCTCTGCGTGCCCATGATAATGAGATTGCTGGAACCAATCGTCGGCAATCAAGATGCTGATACTGTGCCGATCATAAGACTAAGAATCCAGGACAGGTAAGAGTCTGCGAAGTCCGGGCTTGCCGATAGAAGACTCACCGAACCCTGAGTCGCCGGCATAGCACCCCCAAGGGATATGGGGGGTTCAGGTTTAGGGTTTAGGGTTTAGCGTTTAGGGGTTTGGGGTTTAGGGTTCAGGGTTCAGGGTACGGGTCCACACAAAGGGACGTCACTTCAGAGCCGGAGGTCTCCGAGCCTTCAGATCCTAAGTTCGAGAAGTCAAAGTGCATAACTACTGCACGACCCCCCCCTAATGTAGGGCCTGAATGATTAGAATAGGGTTTAGGGGATTCCGTGTTATAATTATAACTATAATAGAAAGTATACCCCTAAACCCGTAAACCCTATTCCAATTATCAAGGCCCCTATAGTAGACCTTAAACAGCACTCCACCCTAACCTCGGGCATCCGCATGCCAGCCGGACAAGCCGGGGCATCACCAACTGAAGCACCAACTCCTGTGCAAAAAAAGGAAACAGTATGACACTCTAGACTACTATACAATATCATATGATATAACATAATATTTCAATGTACGGTGAAGATCAGGATTTGGCTTGAGTTTCAGGTATTGCGGTTCAGGCTGAAGGTTGTTTGTCCGTAGGATCAAATACGGTGGTTGGACAATCGCGAAGCACGAACTGCAAATCTCATGGCGTTGCTGCGCATGAACACTGAAAACAAAAGGGTGATGCAAACGTTTCATGACAGGTTCTTCTCCATATGCAGCCAACATTAGCATACTCCTCTTCCTCCTCATCATCATCAGCAGCTGGTATCGGCAGTCTCCTTCCTCAACACCAATACCAACAGCATTTGCACTAGTCACTAGCAACAGCAATAGCAATCGCACTACACCACCATCTTCGCCGTCATCACCACCATCATCACCAGAGCAACTTCACAGTGCTAGCCCAATCGTCAGGAGCGTGATTGTTGTGGCTAATGCTACGAACTGGTGCAAGAGAATGCAAGAGATAGATGAGTCTGGCAAAAACAAGCAAAGCCGCGGGGTCCTTGTCTTGGGGATTCGCAGCCAAATGCCGCACCAAAAGTCCTGAACCCTGCCTGTCACGCATGATGCGCTGAACCTGTCGGTCAAAGAGGACAACAGCTTTGCCATCCAGGGTGGGGCTCTCGCATTGTATGACCAGTTTGCCTCTGTATGGGATCTGGAAAATAATTACATGCACAGGGCTTCCTCAAACACATTCGGACACACCAGACAAGGATGATCCGCTGGCACGAGGTCACAGAGGAAGCAATAGTAGACCCGGTGCGAATGCTGAGGAGGCCGAGGAGTTTAAGTCCGCAGTCCACATTGTCACGCCGGCCAGAAACAAAAACAACCACAACTAGATAGGATTTGCATCCATGCTCGGCCCGAGTTTAAAAGCAGTTCACCAACAACAGGCAAATATCATCTCACGCTTACCTTCCAAACTTTCGAATTTCTGAATGCGTCACGTTTACCTCACAAGTTTTACACCGCCTCACCACCTTCCCCCGCCACCCCCGCTCTTTATTCAGAAAGCTCGAACAACATCTTAAGCCCTTCATCCCTCAGAAGCTGAACATGCCTCGGAAGAAGGGAGATGTCCGGCAGACAAAGCTGCAGCAGGAAAACCACCTCACCAGCATGTCATGTTGAACAGTTTTTGCGCTGATAGACTGTGTTGTTCTCTTCGGGGCATGACCTTTCATGACCATGGTTCCATCGCCGGTATTCAAGTCCGAAGGCCCAGATAACAAAGAACAAGCCCAAATGCAACACAGAGGGGATGTAACACGAATCATGTCATCGCAACAAGACCGGACAGTCATCACTCATAACTCGTGCTGCGAACATACATTGGCACACCGTACAACCAAATACCCCAACGACATCCTAGAAACTGGCAGTTAACCATCCCTGCAACATCCTTTACTATCTTGCCACCTGTATGCAACCTATCACCTCCACAAACTGGAAACGAAAGCTGCAAGCCCCACGATCCAATATCCCTTGGACAAGATCCACTGCTGTTGCGCGCAGCACACCTGGTTGTCCAGAGCCGGCGGGGCCACTAGGGGGCGCCGGCGAGGATGGACCCCTGGGATTGAAAGTTTGAGGTTTTACGCTTCAGGGTTCAGGGCTGGATTAATTATTTGGCTTCGGAACTCTGCAGAGCTTTCTGGTAGGTATGTTAATGCATGAGTCAAACAACTAGGGTTTTATCCACTTCTCTGTGGCTTTACCAGATGTTGGACAGGTGTCGTCAAAGTATTCTCAGGTGTCCTCAAGGTAAATTGAAGGCTGTTTGAACCAACAACATGAAGCAGTCTTGACAGAGACAGCCTGGTCGGTACCTGTTCTCCCTGTAATTTACGGATCCTGCCGGGGACACCTGTTGATTTGAAGCTTGGAGCTGTCAGGGAGCTTAGAGTTTCGCCCCGAAGCCCTCAAACCCCACGGCTTCACACACCGGTTCGTCGCACCTGGGCGGCACCTGCGCTCCCTCTGCATGTGCCTTGGTCTTGGACATGTACTGCACCTTTCTGGATTTCTGTACTCTCCGACGTCCTTACATTGGAGGATTCAAACGCGAGTGGTACTCAAACATAGGGTTTGACAGAAGACAGCAACCTGCGGCATCATGTAGAGTGTAGAGTTGTTACAACAGAGCACGGAGCGCAACATAAATTGGACCAGATCGTTCATATCGGAGCACCTGCGGGTGTGCCTATGAGGGCTGGATGCTCGTCGATGCACGCCCCATATAGATGGATGTCTCCATATCAGTGTGCTATATACACAATGAGGTTCTTGCGTTGGCACTGGGTGTAACTCCGCTCAGGGGCCGCATGCCGCACGGCGCACGAGGCGTCGCGGCCACGTCCCCCGGAAAGCCGGATTCATTGCAAGTTCCATTGCATGAGCCACATTTCGGCTTCGAAATCTCTGAATGCCAAGCAGTACTTTGGGGGGCAACATGTCGGCCTCCTAAACCCAGCCAGTACTTCGGGCAAAACACGTTGGCCTTGCTCCGGAACAGGACCCCACCCATCCACCCACCCACCCACACCCACACCCACCCCGCCCACACCCACCCGAACGGAGTGTAGAAGCACAGCATCACGTCCTTGCTACCCAAGATCTCCAAGTGCCGGGCGGACCCCGGCGATGATCCCGGTCGCGGTCCGTCTGTCAACATGGAGGCTAGGAAAACCAAGAATGCCACAACCATGTCATTGCAGAGATGGCTCCTTTAAGATGCATGTCCAGACGAATCAGCTCCTTTCGACAACCAAGCCTACTTGTTGAAGGGAGAAGCCTGCATTGAGGACTTAGTTGCAGCTAGCTCTAACGTCCCAAACCAGACATCCAACACTTGTTTGAGTTTAACTGCCAGGCATCTAGCATCAGGGGGGGTTCGAGAGGCAGGTCTCAAGAACGAACCCTCCAAAGTCTGAACACCCTAGAAGGCTGCGTATAGCTGATGTTACATACACAGACTAAGGGTTTAGGGTTTAGGGTTTAGGAAACCCCAGGCCCCAATAATTACAGAATCGGAGCCTTCTGCTGGCAGGCCCTCGGACTCCGTCTCGGATGCAACCGAGGAGCCTCGCAGGTCTGGGTTGAACTCGGTACGTCGGTAAGGGTTTAGGGTTTAGGGTTTAGGGTTTAAGGTTTCGGACTGGGTTAGAGATCCAAGTTTGTGGATCGGATTGAGGGTAAAGGCTTTTTCGGGATGGTGTCCCGCTAATTGAATCCCCGGGGTGGGGGGCCTAGATACACAAAGGGCAGAACTGGATTGCGGTGGCTTGTCGTACTCACGGCATCATCTTCCGGCAGGACTGACTCGGAAAGGAGACTGCTCACCAGTATAACTTACGACAATCTCTCTCTTGCTCTCCCTCGCTCTCCCGTACCATCCTCCAGGGTATCGCTGTGCAAGTGCCAAAATAATACAGAATATATACTGTGCTAACTATGCTATACTAGTATGCGAGGGCCAATAAACTATCAGAAGATGTGCTATACTTGCTATACTATGACTATTCCCACTGCGAGTATCCCTACCATGACACCACTATAATTACAACTATTGTTATAATAGCTCTTACAATTACTACCGCTATTCCGATCACATGCTGAAGTATTGCTATCACTACTAGCATTACTATTACTGATAATTGCTATTGCTAGTGCAATTACCACAACAGACTAGACTTTACCGGACTGTACTAGGCTGTACCAGACTACACTAGACTTGACTAGACTCGATTATACTATATGATACTGAGTATATATATATATATACATATTATATATATATATATATATGTATACACTCTTCTCTATACTACTATCATGAGGCCATGATTTGTTCCCGGCGGGTTCAGCTGGGGCAGCGTGAGCCCGCGCATCTGGCCGCCTCTTTATTCGGATAAGTGTCCAGAGCCGTTTCCTGTAAGCAAACGAAGTGCGACATCTGGAGATCCTCGCTATGGTGTTACACGTCTTTCTCTGTTCGTGGAACTGGTGCTGCCGTGGCAGTACTCAGTAGTCGGTGTATGCAGGTGGCTGTGGTGCGCAGCACTATTCCGACTAATTATGTGAGTCTCCATTACAGGATTAAGACCTTGTGGAGTATCCGAGCCAGCACGATCCGGAGCCAAACTACAGACTGCAAAGATGCCCCGTAAAGTCCTTGACCATGGCACTGACAACCAACACTATACTACATGATATCATACCGTGACTTGTTATACTACAGTATGTCATGATAGTGCACGGTACTTGGTTATGCAGTATGATTACTCTTACTTGTTTGCCTTGTTTGCCATTCACATCCACACGATGCCTGGGGCCCCAACGGTCCATGCCTTGCAAAGAGCCCTGTTCGGGCTTGGCAATGACTTGGCCTCCTGCACTGTTGGACCGCAATCCAAAGGTCTGAACTTGATGCGGGGTCCAAACTTCAGAGCAGTCAGGAAATCGGAAAAGCGCAGGTCGATGCAGTCGAGGTTGCGCAAGTCACTCAACTGAAAGTCTTACTTTGGGGGTGCGAGTTGGCGCCCAGCTAGGGTGCATGAAAACAAGCCGAAGGGAAATGTCGGAGGCAATGTTTTCTCCGGTCGGGCAATGTTCTCGCCAATGCTCGGCATTGGCATGCAAAAGCAGAGTTGACCCCAAAACAACACTTGTCCAGGAAGCTTGACTGGCAGGAAGTCAGTCATAGTATGTACATGTACAACATGCGTTCTAACAGTCCCACAATGGGTCTGCTATGCGGTCGCTGGTCGTTTGTGGCACCACTTTGCGAGGCTTCGAGGTTGCACGGCATGAGACTTCGGATGCAAATGTTCTACAATCACTGTGGCCACCGCAATGGCCACCAGCCGCTTCAAAACTCGCAACCAGAAATCTTCGCATCAGGCTCCTTGCCCACAAGTCAGCCGGTGTCATGCTTCTAAATGGTGTCATTTTCTACAGGCAGTCCTCGAGATTGCGGAGTTGGCCTTCCTTTGCCAGAACCCGCCCACCCTACCTAAGAAATGTCACACCCCAAAGCTCTTGTCAGCTACGTCAGGCGCAGGTGGTGTTGCACCGCTGCTTGCCGGAACTGAAAGCCGGCAATGCTACGAGGTCCAGCATTGAAATTCTCCTTCTAGACTACACAATATCTCAGGCGTCGTTGGACCGTCTTACACAACATCTCACGCCCTGTCCTAACTTGCATGCAGCTCGGCGACGAACCCGCTAACCCGTCAACAAGGTGCAAGTCTAAGTCTCAACCCACCGGACCGATACTTGTTCTTTCAAATCCGGGAGAAAGAAAGCTGCGAAGCAGCAAGTTGCTGCACGTCCTCCAAGATTTCTCTGAGCTTCCGTGGCTCTTCACAAATAGCTCCGACGCTGCCCAGAGCTGTGATATCCACCGGCCTGGCTTGGGTGAGCAAATGCAAGGGCCTTATATCACTTATATCATTGGAATAAAGGTCATTGGAATAGAGGTTTGGGGAGTATTGACCCATCTATTCAGACGCGAGTTTCATTCGCTTGGGACGCCGCTGCTCGCAGAATAACGTTCTGAAGGATTTTGGCCTCATCATAGTCATAGTCGAAATCATCTTTTTTTGTTGGAACGGCTATGATGGTCGTCATATTCGTGCTTCGAAATAATCAACTATGAACAAAACGAAGCCATGGCGCAGCCGTGCCCCTCGAAAGGCGGCGACGAGCTGCAATGCCGGTTCCCACTTTTGGCCTCGTGTCGTACGCTTGTCTAGTTTGCAGGGCCTGGGTTTAACTAAGAATGGTTTACTGCTTAGGCTTAGGGTGTCCACACCCACACTCACACAAGGCAGGCAAGGCTTCGGGGCAGGACCCTCCACCATGACTACCTTGCCGCCGAAGGCTGCAATACCTCATCAAACACCATACCATCCCGAGCCCACGCCAAACCCTCAACATAAGAGCCACCAGAGCACGGCAAGGATTCACCAGAAAAGGGATTAGTGGGCCTTGGGCCCTGGAGAGCACCGGGATGGAGGTCAGGGGGATTGATTTAAGGGTTTGGGGCTGGGGTTCCAGGTGCAAGGTTGTGAACTGTAGACATCGGGCATAAGCCAAATCCTCTGCACAGGAGCTTAGGATAGTTCAGGATTGAGTCAAGGCGGCAAGACGTGTGCGGAAGGATTCAAAGACCTGTTGCTGGATCTCGGAGGACATGTCCCGAGAGGCAGGGCGCTCGAAGCTTCAGTGGGCTCGGATGCGGTGCGAAAACTCTCGTCATCCTGAACCCTTTATTTCGACTCTCACTCTCGAGCCCTTTATTTTGCGAAGACTCTCAGACTGAAGCCTCGGCCGACAAAGGCGGACAAACAATAATCAAGACTCAAGGTAACCAACGAGACCAAGAAACCCGGACGGCCCCCTGAAGCCTCGACCCTTAAAGCACTTGTAACCTCAGCCCCATATGACAACGAACACTCCTTTTTGCAATCTGATGGTCAGGCCTACCACCTAGCTTGGTAGCCTTTGTTGAAGGCAAGAGGCCTTTGGAACAGGCCCCCACGGCCGAGCTGAGGCTAAAGATGTCCGGCACCAGCCACGACTCTGCGATGCGATCCTTGGTGAAGCGGCGCTCACAACGACTCTGCAATGCTGAGGACTTTGTTGCTGTGGAGATCTGCCGAGCAAACATAATATGTTGCACTAGACCCGATCTCCAAATTCTTTGCAAGCGAGCAAGCTGCCAGCAACGCCACGGCTCCCTGCCAGTGGCCGCTCCGAGCGCACGCACCTTACCAATTCCCCCGCACAGAGACGGAATAGCCGGCTTTCATGGTCACCACCCAAAAAAGCCACTCCTTGTGTAACTCCTCTGTTGCATCTATGTGGTTCTTTCGTTTTTTCGTCATTCGATCAGCATCGTTAGCAATTCCGCCGTCATCATCACCAGCACAAGAGCGGGCATCGACACGAGGCCGACAAAGATGGCGACATCGCTTTTGCCAGGCATGGTGAAGTTGATGTCGTTGTTGTTGCTGCTGTCGTGTTGTTGCCGTCGTTGTGGTTGGTGCCGTTGCTGTTGCTGATATTGTGGTCCCTGTACAGTTGCTGATCGGCACTACGCCTTGTCCTGTTGTTGCTTGTAGTCCGGATGCGGTCAGCAACTGCAAATGCTGCTACGGGGAAACTACTGATGGTGCTGCTGTTGTTCCTGGCGCCGTCGCTCTTGGCGATGCAGTTGTAGTTGATGCCGATGCTGTGATGTTGCGCTTGTTACTCGTCTTCGTTGTGGTTGTGGCTGCTGCCTGCTGCCGTAGATCTGCTAGGCGCATGAAAGCAAGGAAACGCAAGGCAGTGCGGATTCCAGCCAAGCAGCTGATAGCCGAATTGAATGAAACCAACGAAGCCTCAGGAAAGAAAGGCTTCTGGATTGGGAACCGCCTCCCAAGTGCCGCGCCATCAGATTCTAGAAAGAGCACGAGGGAACTCCATTGTCAAGTGTGCGGTAATTGCACGGTACATTCGGCCAAGTAGCCTGCACACCTTGCACTTCGATTTCGCTTAGAAGGTAGACCGCCCATTGCCAACGGCTGCCTTCCGTCACGACACCCACACAAGCGCACGATGCTCTCTCAATGAACCGTTACGCGTCCGCTAAAGCCATGACATCAAGCCCCTTCAAACTAAATTTCTCCTAGCATGTGCTTCCGACCTTCAACCATCCTAGGTCTGACTCTGATGATGGAGTGCAAACTGCTTTCTTATTTCTTTGCATGACTCGGACAGCTGAAACCTGTCGGTCGCCTTTCTCGCAAGCGCTGATGGCAGCATTGAAAACAATGTCACTCACCTCTACCTTGCAGGAGGCTCAACTCTCACAGTCGTCGGGTGCTGAAACATGACGATTTCGGAACCAGGGTGCGCGGAAGTGTTGCAGCATCACACGTTTACTAAGAAAATGTAGTTCGTGTTGTGGCGTCTTCATGACTTCACGTAGATTTCGGCCGTACAGCCCACTTGAAACAAGCCGAACTGAAACACTCCCGTACACAGCAACATGTTCATTCATCTTTTCCAATCTCAACCGGCTGGTTAACCAAAAGATTGCTGCTGCAGCATAAGGTAAATTATCTGTCTTAAACTCAGCTTCACTTCTGCTGTAGAGAAATAATTTCAGCACGTGCGTATATGAAGTCCTCGCCCTGGCGACCCTTCCGGCTGATCTCAGAAGTCCGAAAGACACACATCATGCTGGTTGGTCATACCACTAACGCTAAATACAGTACGATTCGGGGGAAGGGTGTGTATGTTTAATTCATGGTCCATGGTTCTATACGGATGACTATTACTACCTTGGCAAACCATTTTTTCGCAAGTCCTGTTTCTTAGGGTTTCGGGCTTGGTCCCCAACTAAAGGCACAAACTGTGGGACGGGTGAGGTCTATAGTTTACTGGGCATTACGCCTTATATGTGTATATATATATATATATATAGTATATAAATAGATATACAGTATTGATTGTGGTTATTTCGGCTGCTGGGCGTCTGTGTGATCTAGAGCCCCGGCCTGACGGAGTGCCTCAAGCAACAACTGCACAGCCGACTGCCACTTGCCACCAGCCTCACAGCAGTCTCCCACAATATAGGCGTTTAATGAAGCAAGCTTTCCAGTACCGAAAGGGCTTCTGCCTGCATGGTCTCTACACATATATATATATATATGTATATATATATATATCTACAAACCGGGCTCATGAAGCCACCATGCGAGTGTTGGAGACAAGCTCAAGCTCGCTCTCTCTCGCTCTCTCTCTCTCTCTCTCGCCTCTCTCTCTCTATCTCTTTCTTTCCCCAGGGCTGTGGTGGGGAGTTGCCTCCCCACTCTCTCTCTCTCTCTCTCTCTCTCTCTCTCCCTCCACAAGGTCCACTGCTGGCAGTATTTGCAGGTTTCCAAACGAAGCTGATGTACGTACAGTTGAGGCTGCAAGCGAATGGAAGTCATTCGGGCGAATGTGGGTGTCTGTCTGTGCCTATGCATGAAGACATATAGCAGCTAATATAGCACATATATATATATATATACACATATATATATATACATATGTATATACACATACATGCACATTTCCACATGTATATACATATATATGTGTATGTATGTGTATATATATATATGTTATAACAACGATAATAACAACTAGTATGTGCTATTATAATGACAATGATAACAATATCAATAATAAGAATGGTCAATAACAGCAATATAACAATGCAGGAAGAAGAGTAATTATTGTTGACTGACTTTTAGAATAATACAGGGGCCATATAATTAGAATAGGGTTTTGGGGACTCCTTATTCTAATTC